TGTGCATCTATAACATATCAAAAAGTAAAATACATGGCACTGATAGCATAAAGGCTGATGGGGGGAGAGAGAAATATACTATTGTAAGGTTCTCACACTACATGCGAATGGTATTATGTCACTTGAAGGTAGACGGAATAAGTTAAAGATGTATACCATAGGGCACCTGGGTGGCTTTTTTTCTTTTTTTTTTAGTTTTTATTTATTCATTTTTGAGAGAGAGAGAAAGCGAGAGTGCACACACCAGCAGGGGGAGCAGCAGAGGGAGAAGCAGGGTCCCCACTGAGCAAGGAGCCCAATGTGGGACTTGATCCCAGGACTCTGGGATCACGACCTGAGCCAAAGGCAGATGCTTAACTGACTGAACCACCCATGCGCCCCTAAGCTTCAGACTCTTGATTTCAGCTCAGGTCATGATCTCAGGGTTGTGGGGTTGAGCCCCCTGTCAGGCTCTGCCCTCAGTGGGAGTCGGCTTGAGGTTCTCTCTTTCCCTCTGTTCTGCCCCTCCCCCTGCACCCCTCCTCTAAAATAATAAATAAATAAATCTTAAAAAAAAAAAGATGTATACCATAAACCCTAAAACAACCATGGAAATAACAAGAAAAAGAGTTATAGCTAATAATCCAACAAAAGAGGTAAAATGGAATCATATAATGCAAAATAAATCCAAAAGAAGGCAGAGAAAGGAAAAAATAACAGATGGGACAAACAGAAAACAAATAGGAAGATGATAGACTTAAACTTAACTATATAAAATATCACACCACATGTAAATAGTATATATATAACCAGTTAAAATACAGAGATTGCCAGAATGCATTAAAAAACCAAGATGCAATTATATGTTGTCTACAAAAATATAATAATATTGCACTTCAAATATACAGATACAAATAGTTTAAAAGGATGAGAAAAGATTTACCATGATAACACTAGTAGAAGAAACTTGAAGTGATTATATTAATATCAAACAAAGCAGACTTCAGGAAAAAGAATATTACCAAGATAAAGAGGATCATTTTATAATGATGATCAAGAGGACATAGCAATTCTAAGTCTTTATGCCCTAATAACAGAGCTTTGAAATGCATGAAACAAAACTGATATTTTAACTAGGTCAACTTGCAAAAAGAAATAGAAACGTCCATAGTAATAGCTAGAGATTTCAGTACCCCTCTGTCAATACCTGATACAAGAAGTAAACAGACAATCAGCAAGATACAGTTCACTTGAACAATACTACAAACCAAGTCTAGCTAATTAAAACTATGGCATATTCTGGGTCATGAAACAAGTCTCAATAAATTAAAAAGGATTTAATTCATATAAAGTGTGTTCTCTGACTATAGTGGGATTAAATTAGAAATAAATTTTAAAAATGGCTAAGATAGGGGTGCCTGGGTAGCTCAGTCAGTTAAGTGTCTGACTTTGGCTCAGGTCATGATCTCAGGGTCCTAGGATCGAGCCCCGGGTCCAGTGAGGGTCCCTGCTCAGCAGGGAGTCTGCTTTTCTCTCTCCCATTCATGCTCTCTCTCTCTTTAAGAAATAAACAAAATCTTAAAGAAATGGCTAAGATATTTCCAAAATTGATGAAAACTATAAACCCACAAGTCCAAAATGCTCAATAAACACCAATCATAAGAACCATAAAGAAAGCTATACCAACGCACCTCGTAATCAAAAGCAGTGATAAAATTCATGGAACATTCCACACAGGGACAGCAGAATACACATTCTTCCCAAGTGTACATGGATCACTTGCCAAGATGGAACATATTCTGGGCCATAAAACAAGTCTCAATAAATTTAAAAGAATTTAATTCCTACAAAGTGTGTTCTCTGACCACAGTGGGATTATATTAGAAATAAATAACAGAAAGAGCTCTAAAAAATCCCCCAAATATTTGGAAACCAAACTGTACTCTTCTAAATAACAAGAGGCCATTGAAGATATATGAAAGAGGAATTTGGAAATCTTTTGAAGTAAATAAAAATGAAAACACAACATATGAGAATCTGTGGGATACTACAAAATCAGTACTTAGGGGGAAATTTTATATACTAAATGCCTGTATTAGAAAATAACATCTTTAACAGTGATCTCAGTTTCTATCTTAAGGAGCTAGAATAAGAAGAACAAATGAATCCCAAAGAAAAAGGAAGAAAGTAAATAATAAAGTTAAAAGGTAAAGATAATAAAGATCATAGCAGAAGTCAATGAAATAGAAACCAGAAAAACAACAGAGAAAATCACTGAAACCAAACGCTAGTTCTTTGAGAAGCTCAAGAGCAATCAACTTTCAGCCACACTAATTAGAAAAAAAAGAGAAAGGCACCAATTATTAATATCAGGATCAAAAGAGGTAACAGCCCTCTAGACCACATGTTAAGAGGGCGATAAGGAAATATTTTGAACAACTATGTCTACAAATTTGACAACTAATAAAAAAGCAGGCATACTAGAAAGGAAGAAGTAAAACTATCTTTATTAGCAGATGCCACAAACATCTATAAAGAAAATCCGGTAGAATCTACAAAAAAGCTACCAAAAATGATAAATGAGTTTAGGAAGGTTGCAGGATTCAAGAGCAATATACAAAAATCAATTGTATTTCTATATACTATTAATGAACTCTCAGAAATTGAAATAAAAAGATACCATTCACAAAGATACCATTCACAATTGTATCAAATAATAGGGAAGATTTAGGGACAAATCTGACAAAAGACCTGTATGCTGAAAACTATAAATACTGCTGAGAGAAATTAAAGATGACTAAAATAAATGGAGATTATACCTTGTGTCCTGGGTCTGAGACTCCATACTGCTAAGTTGTCAATTCTTTCTACATTGGTCTATAGATTCAGTGCAATCCTAATGAAAATCTCATCAGGTGTTTTTCTGTTTTGTTTTGTTCTTTTTTTTTTTAAATTAACAAGTTGATTCTAAAATTTATATGGAAATGCAAGAAAACAGAATAAAACAATGTTGAAAAAGAACAATGCTAGAGCTTGTTCTGATTTCAAGACATATTCTAAAGCGATAGTAATCAAAACAGTGTGTTATTGGCAAAAAGGTTGATAAATAGATCAATGAAACAAAATACAGAGTCCAGAAATAAACTCATGCATATATGAACAACTGATTTTTGAAAACCACTTTGGAAAACAGTTTGGCAGTACCTTAAAAAATTAAGCATATCTACCATATGATCCAGCCAATCTGGTCCCAGGTATTTACTCAAGAAAAAAGAAAGTATGTTTATATACCATGACTTGTACATGAATGTTCATTGCATTTTTATTTGTAATAGTCCCCAAACTGGTACAACCAAATGTCCATCAACAGGTGAATGGATCATTTCGCAACATATCCGTGTATCAAATCATCCTATCGTACTCCTTAAATTTACAGAGTGTTATATGTCAATTATATCCCAGTAAAGCTCGAAAAAAATGGAGAAAAACCCACAGGGGAATTGAAAAACAATTTAAGGTACATCCATACAATGGGATAGTTCAGCAATAAAAAGGAATGGGCTACTGATACATGCAACAACACAGATAGAATCTCAAAATAATTATGCTCATTGAAAGAAGACAAAAAGATGGGGCACCTGGGTGGCTCAGTCGGTTAAGCATCCGCCTTTGGCTCAGGTCACAATCCTGGGGTCCTGGGATTGAGCTCCCCGCTCAGTAGGGAGTCTGCTTTTCCTTCTCCCTCTGCCCCTCCCCCTCCCCCGCTCATGCTCTCTCTCTCTCTCTAATAAATAAATAAAATCTTAAAAAAAGGAAAGTAAACAAAAACATCATCTACTATATGATTCTACCTATATACAACTCTAGAAAATGTAAACTGCTCCACTGTGGGAAAAGGAGATGTGCAGTTGCTGGGTATATTCACTATCTTGATTTTGGTGATCATTTCATGGCTACTATATATGTTAAAACTTACAAAACTGTATACTTTAAACACGTGCGGTCAATTATTTCTCAATACAGCTGTTTAAAAAAATCCAACAAAAACTCTGCCCGGTCTGAGTCTTTAATCAATTAATTCTGTGTGTGTGTGTGCAGTGAGCCACCCTTAATATTTTGGGGGCCTAAGGGAAATGTACCAGTGTAAGTTCCCTAACCCATATATAGTCTGCCCCCCTTATCTTTCTAGGCCAGGCAATCCTGGGCACCCCTCAGATTTGGGGTGATGTATCTGGACAGAAGGGGCTCCCACTGGCCCTGGAAGTGGGCATGGGCTCTGAGATCCTGAATACTGAGACTATAACCTAGAATGGAGAAGTTCGTTCCAGATGAACATATCTAGGTTCGCAGACTCCCTGCCTTGGCCAAGGTGTGGTTTGAGGAGGCCAGAGTAGAGGACCTTGAACACAATGATAGTCTGCAAGGAGGTAAGATCAAAATTGAGAATGCTTTATAGCAATTTGACATCCGGGCATGGGATCATTTCTCTAGCAATTCATGTTTACTGTATTTTACAAAAGCAGTGTGTCCTCCAAAGATTGGATACAAATAAAAAACAATAAAGCGGAAAAACCTGTCCCTCACCACAGATAATGGAGACACTGCTTTAAAACATGTGGCTCTGAGCAGAAGCCCCTAAATAAGATTGGTTTTGAATTATGAGAGATGTAGGGCATACTCTATGAAACAAGATTTCCAGTATGACTTTTTTTGAGGTTTCAATCACAATCTGACTAATCCACCTTTGTGTCTTTCTGGAATATTCTGTGTGGAGTACGAGCTGCCTTTAAGGCCATGGTAATTGTCTGTGAGCGTGAGTTCCCTGCAGATGGCTGTCTTTCTCACTCAGAATTTGAGAAGAGCTGGCTTTCATTTAAATTTATTTGTATTTTTTTATGGCAGTGGGAAAGATTATGGCCATTTTTCTTTGTTTGAACATGAAAGTCTAGGCAATACCACTGTCCCCCGTACTCCAGTCCGTCTGGAGTCATTCACCGAATATAACAAATGGGGCATCTTACCTTGTGCACACAGGACTTTGCGTTCAGGAAAAACAGCTCCACTGTGGTTTTATCCTTTAAAAACGATATGCTCTCAATGTAAAACCTGAAAAACAGTACAGAAGTTGGTTCTTCAGATTTCTTTCCCTCTCTCAGCATGATGTCCTGTCCTCATTTAGCTTCCCCCAAAACAGAAAGGATTACGAGGAACTAGGAAACAGTTGTGCTTTTTTTTCCTTTTAAAAGAAATCTGTAATACATATGTATGTCTACATATATGTACATATACATGCATATGAATGTAGGCATATATGCAGATAAAATCTCTTAACATAAAGTTTTTGTGTCTTGGACGATGAATTCAAGAGGAATCCAAAATGGTATCTACCTGCAAACTGCAAATGGTACCTAACTGCAAACCCAGCTTTATCTGTGTTGATCATTCTTGAACACAAGCATTCTGGGGGCTCCTAATACCTCAGACAGCTTCAAAACAAAGCCCAGGCAAAAGCAGAAGTAGAAAGTAGAAGTTGACTGAGTTAAGAACTATATAATGCAACATTCATGTCTGCTCTGGTTTTTAGACTTGAGGTGGGTGTGAGGGTGTGAGGGCCCCAGACCCACCTTGCCTGCATTCACCAGGCAAATTTCAATGACACCCTGCTCCTTCCCGGTCATCCTTCCAGGCCAGGGTTTTCTCTTGGCTGGAAGCCAGGCCCTCAGTAGCACTTAACCTTGGACTTTTTGTCATGCAAATCAGAGTATGCCAGGCCTCTCCCCACCCCCTTCCCTGGGCTTTAGTCCACGCTCTAAGGAGAGCTCCGACAGCCCCTTGTAAGGAGGGGAGGGGAGTCCTTCACAATTCTGTCTTTTTTCAAAATCTCCTAATGATGAGGCTGGCCAGTGAACGCTAAGCTCTGGGTGGGTGAGCGGGCCAGCCAGAGGCACAGAAGTTTTTCTCAAGTTTGGAGCCTCGCTTGATGAATAATGCATGAAGAGACCTAATGCCCCAAGACAGCTCACAGCTCGGCTCCTGGAAGAGAAACTTGCTCTCTGATTGGTGAGAGTTAAGATCAACCAGGGCTAAAGTGGCTGGGGAGACTGACCTTAGCTCTGCACCATCATGACAGGCGGTGGGCATCTGTTCTCCACTCCCTTCCCTCCAATATGGACAGAATGTTGGATAAATAAATGAAACTGAAAAGGACCATGGATGATTTTATCACGGAGATGGCAAAAGCATTTGAAAAATTTCACCTCTAATGCTGAATCATCAAGGGGAGTTCCAGAAAGAGAATAAATCCTTTATATTTTTCCTTACAAGGGTTTATCTCATAAGTGAGATTAATGAGGACTGAAGATGGCTGGTTTGTGAGAAAGGAAAGTGAAGGACTCAGACAGGGAGGAGAATGTGGGGCTGGGGGAAAACAGGCTTCGGAATCAGAAAGATCAAGATAGGGACGCCCTCCTCCATCCTTTATTAGCTGTGTGGCCTTGGGCAAGTTCATGGGCTTCTTTGTGTCTCTTCTAAAATGGGTGTCATGATTGCACTCAGCTCACGGTTTGGGCGGGGGCGGCTCTTGAAAGGATTAAAGGAAGTAATATATAGGAAACAATAAATATTAACAATTGTTAATAAAAACCCATTCTCTGGAATGTCATGCTTTGTGGCCTAGGGGAAGTGACTCCAGCTTTGAGTCTAAGATCCCAGCCTTCCAGTGGTGGCGGCAGCAAGCCTCAGGGGCCCCCTGGCTTTGTGTCGCTCAGCGCACTGCCTTGCTTCTGTGCCCTCAGCTCCTGCAGCTGACTTGCCCTTCTTCCTCCGACTGGTGGCTTCGGCTTAGTGCCTCCCTCTCTCTCACTCCCTCTGAGGGTCCCTGGCTTGGTTGGGCCACCGCTTATCCCACATAAGGAGCCTCTCTGGGGTGGAGCGCGCTTCTCCACCCCAGTTAACTCAATGGCTGCATCCTGAAGGACCTTCCGCCTGCTCTTTGCTGCTACAGGTACTTTATCCCTGTCAACTGAGGTAACGGGGGCAGGTTTCCCGAAAGGGGCAGCCGCAGTGTGCCAGCTACGATCTCCTGAGCTCCCGCTTACAGCTAGCCAGACGCGAAGCGCCTTCCATGCATTGTCTCATTTCACTCGCAACAATCGTTTCACTTAATCTTCAGTACAACCAGACGCCACAGGTAGCGACTTATGAACCCATTTTACAGACGAGGAAACGGAGAGATGGAGGTGTCCCTAAGTCATCTTCTCTAAGCCGTACAGGCAGGAAGTGGGGGAGCCATGATTCGAACTAAGGCCGGTCAGACTTCAAAGTTCCCATTCCACACCCATGTGATAGAATGCTTTCCTACAATAACAATCACAATGAAACGTAACACGCACACAATGCCATGGGGCCCGAAGGAGGGATGCAGTGAACTCAGCCTAGGAATCAAGAGGGAGAAGGTGGCCAAGCTGAGATCCATAGCACTAAGTGACACAGGACACGAAATGTCCCCTTGGACAACTGGGCTGAGTCTTAAAGAATGCATGAGTTCGCCAGGTAGCCAAGGGAGGAAGGCCATTCCAGGGAGAGGACATAATAGCCAGACCAGTCCTCTTGCTAATCTTCAAGAATTTAAGAACCTACATGCAGGGGGCTGGGTGGCTCAGCCCCAAATCAGCCTGTGGCTTGCCCAGCTCTGAACAGATAGCTTTGTACCAGAAACTGGGTTCCTCTTGTTTCTGAAGCCCAAGCCCCTGACTATACCTTCGTTCTAGTAAACAGGTCCCTATCTTGTTTCCCACCACTTTCTGGCGACCTGCCCTGTTGCCTTCTACCTTTCTTCTTTGGCATCTGATTACCTGCTCTCTCAATTCAGAATCCTCTCTCTCCCTCAAGGGGGCCATTGTAATGACTTCATATTTATGTAGTGTATGAAAAGTGCGTATCGTCCTTTGGGAGAATAACTCCCCAGGCACACCTATCAACATGTATCATGAAGTGAAAACAGAATCTAGGGCTTCTTAATGAAATAAAACGAACTCTCCCAGACTCATAAAATAAAGACCTTTTGTTTCAGCCCCCTTTTTGGTAAAAGGATACTGTTTCCTTTCTGCACACTTATTGTGAGTGATTTCACCAAGATTTTGTGAAGTTTAAGCCCCTGGTTCAATTTCCAGCCCTGAAATGAGCTCAGGCTTTTGGACTAGGCATATGTTTTAGAGACAAACCTCATTACAGCTGAGTAAGTACAATTTCTTGAGAAGAGAGTTTGCTTGGAGACGTTTTCCTCTAATTTGTGTGCTCCCCCCACTGGCTGTCTTTGTCCCTTCCTGACGGGACGGGTGGTCACCTAACCGTTTAGCAAGGATACCAGAACATCGAACTTCAGTGATGTGAAAAAGATGGCCTGGGGAGGAGGTGGGCCTGTCGGCCCAGTGACAACACAGGTATGCCAAAAGGCAGAACACAGGACTTGTTTGACATGGGCTGTTCTTCAACAGTCACTTACGTGTAGGTGGCCAATATTTTCTTCTTGGGGCATTTATTCATTGTGACCAAAAGTCAACACCATGGAGTTGGGGAGACAGCCTCATCCTGGGGCCTCGAGCTGGCCATCCGGCTGCTCAGTGCTCCCCTGCTTCACCTGCCCCACATCCCAGAGCCATGAGATGTTTTAAATGTGCTCAATATAGCTGGGGGCATGCCGCTCAGCAGCCAATGGGTGGTGGGCATTATTACTAGATTCTTCTTCTTCTTCTATAGATGGCACTATAATAAAAGGCAGTGACTGAGCCGGGAAGCTTTTTTAAGACTTTAGCAAGTGTCCTTCCTAAGCTCTTTCTCTCAAGGACACAAAGTGCTCCCCAAGTGTCCATTTTGACCCAGAACAGGAAAATGCCGTGAAACAAGTCTTTCTGACCAGTTACGACTTGTTCTCTGCCAACTGAGCATATTTAGTTTTCCAGGGCCTTCCTTATGTCTCCGTGATATCTTCAAAGTCGGGGAATTGGGCAAGAATTGCTCAATGACTTCGCATTCTGAACAATGCTGAGCTTGTGAGTGGAGTCCAGCGAGGGCCTCCTTCTGGGTTTCGGTCAGTCATTGCGGGTAATTTCTGGCACTCACCGCAGCCGCGGGCCCAAGAAGATTCCTATCAGATCCCAGGCCACATTCTGAGCAGGGAGATCTCTGCTCATTGCTTGTAATGACCCGGCTACCTCATCGTCTCACTTTATGATGCATGCAGAAGCCAGCAGTGTAATTGAAGTATACTGTACTTTCTCCAAGCTATTATGCAGGGCTCGTGGGAGTCCCAGATGCTCCTTTCATCTCTGGGAGGGGTGCAGTCTGACAGAATTCCCCAAGGAAAGCACAGTTTGCTTCCACTATGTGCTCCCTGCCAAAAGACGCTCCCTCACTTCCGAATTTCCAGGCATCTCTAGGAGAACCAGCGAGGGCCCTCCAGATAAGTCTGTAGGAACCTGCCCTGTTGCTCACTCCCATGGTGTGGCTCTTTCTGAGATCCCCGGGGAAGGGCTGGAGGCCCAGGAGGGTAAGGGCCTTGCTGTGACCTGTCCGAAAGGGGTCCAAGGAAGTCTTCTGCCCCAGGCAACCCATAAGTGTCCAAGTGTTGCTTCTTCCCTTCCAAACTGCAAAACAGCCTGCTCCCGTCCTCCACGAGCAAAATAGGGATGCAGGCTTTGAGAAAAAGGCAGGAAGGGAGGCAGGAGAAGGGAGATGGGGAGCAGGGGGATGGCCGGCACTGTGAATGACAAAGACAAACGATGAGATCTTCCACCCAGGGCAAATGTGAATGGGTCTGACTTAAGCCAGACAGTCCCAAACCTTCCACATTTGAAGACCGTATATCATGTTATGGAATTTTTTTTTTTTTTAACCGTTCCATATGTGATTAAGGCAGTCTCTGTCATTTATATCATAATAATCGTTAACATGTACTGAGGGTCTACATGATATGTTCTTACAGGTTTAATCCTCCAACAAGGTCCATTTTGCACATGAGGAAAATAAGCCACAGAGCAAATAAATGGAAGAACTGGGATTCGAATCCAGGAGCGATGCTAAAGCACCCATTCTCAGTGGGCAGAGTG